TTGCTGTAATAGGATTATTCTGTTCATATTAAAGCAAACTTATGTCTAAACTATACAGTAAATGTTAAATATATGTTATATATGTTTAAATGACCTTGATATTATGTTTCTGTATGTATGTATGTTTGTTTGTATATATGCTGTGTGCTCATGGGTATAATACCCACATGTATTCGGAATAAAATCTTAATCTTAAAATCTTTAATAGTAATAGTGTTGGTAGAATTTGCCTGAAGCTGATGTGTATCCACATGTGTTGCATCAAAAGAATCTCTAACCTAGAAGAGTTATTCACATAAAAAATTATTTAAAATTTAGGCGATGCCCGTTACTGTTTACATTACAATAGAGGTTTCGGATGTATCGACCTTTATAACCCTTTCTAGCATGGTAATAACATTTGTTCATAATTATATTGGAGAAAAAGTGTTTAGTTTACAATAGTACCTTATATTCAGTGTTGGTTTGAAAATTTGTAAGATAATGTACCGAACTCTGGTTCAACGATATTTCAGAATCAACTGCATAATTTCCAATGAGTTAGGTTTCCCTCAAATCACCCCTCTTGCTTTTATCTTTCAAACTATGTTCAACTTTTATAGACGTTCTTCATCATCCATATTAGATCATTGTTAGCATATCCTTATACTCTCTTCAAATATTCAATATCTTTGTCGTAGTTTGGGTTCAATGATTGGACAGAATATTCTTTTACAGGTTTAACTTATGCCTTAACAACTACCAATATCAATGTGTTTGAAAATACCAATCTGTAAAAAGGTTTATAATCGAATTTCTCACATTGCTCTCTTCATTAGGTTTGACAGCATCTGTTATTGTCACTTCGGGATTGGTTTCACTTATACGTATAGATATTTCAATGCTGTTCACATTGTAAATATTTCTGGATTATTAAAGCCAACAATAAAATATTTGACGTATTCAGGTTTCAAAAAAAAAAATCTACAGCAAAAGTATTTTACCCAAAGATGAACATAGTACATGTATATCTTAAATCAATCAAGTTTTTGACAATCTTATACGTGAATCCAAATTACTTTGTATTGTTTCACAGTTATCACTTCCGTACCTTAACTTTGAATCATCTGCATAATCATGTACAGATATTTGAAGGCTTAGAACTGATCCCTAGATAGGGCAGCCCGCTATAAACTTGAAAAGGTCTCGTTTGATGTGTAAACCTATCTAGTAAATTTCCAGAGATACCATAACTAATAATTTTAATCTGTCTACAAACCAAACTATGAACTGTGACACCAGAAAGGCATCAAGGCTGAAAGTATATGCGGATGCGCAGGCTGGTCTGGATCCATGTTGGTCGCAAACCCATTATGTTGGTTTTGTCGTGACGCGGCTCATATGTTAAAGCTCCTCGCCAATCTCCAGAAATTCACTATTTTTATAGGATTTCTACATGTCGAACATTTAGAGCTGAGAAAAAATAATCGACTTAAGGTTATACACTGGGATAAAGTATTATAATGTACATGTGAATATTAATAAATGATTTGATGTGTATGTCTATATTTTTGTTATCTAAAAGTTATTCAAGTACTCAATTTTCAAATCACATGACCTCAGGCAAGACGTACAGCACATTTGTGAAACTCTTTAAAAAGATATTAATGTTTACTGAGAAATAACTTGGAAATGAAAACATTTGAAAAAAATAATTTACTTTCCTTCTACTAGTATTCAATTATTAATGTTTTCTAGCGTTCTCAGTATCAAAATTTATGTAACATATCTAAAACGCTATAACAAAGAGCTTTTTTCTTTTTTTATATAGCATTTTAAAGTGATATATTTGTTTTTGTAATATATTTTTCTCTTGTTACATTTAACAATACAAGCAACGCATTGTCATCGTGATTAAATTACGTATTTAATGGTAACATATAATGAAAAGAAAACAACGGGACCCTGTCGGTCACCTTGCAATCAGTCAGACAGCCTCATAACGGCTAAACATGTTGCAATGACATTGATAAATTAAGGGTCCGTTGGACTAAACAATGGCTGACTGACAGTCGCCCGAACCTCAAGAAATTCATTTTTAGGCTTTAATTACGTTAACAATTTTGTATAGAAAACACAATATCATTTTGTTTGCATTTGCTACATTTATGACAAATTATTCCATATACTACTTTCTTCACACGATAAGCATCTAACATGCTGTTAAGCCACTACTAAAACATTGTAAACACAGGTTTGTCTTTTCATCAGAACAAAAATCGTATGAATTTCTGATACTTCATGTGCACTGACACTAGGGTATTGTTGATCAAGACATATATTTGGTTGTAAATTGTGACACATTAACCCAGCGATTGCTGTTATGCAATATTTACTCTTCTTTTTATGGAACGCCATGACTGTCTTATCCTATCAATATTTTGCTTTCTTGTGAAATGATGATATTATTTTGTCATTTAAGCATATTAACATGTGCAATTTACATCATATCTTGTCTAAAGACAATGCTGACTTGTTCAAAAAGCATGTTAACTTGTCAAATAATCATCTTGACATCTGCAGACAGCATGTTAACTTGTCAAAGTATCATGATGACTTGTGCAAACGACATGTTAACTTGTCAAAATATCATAATGACTTGTGCAAACGACATGTTAACTTGTCAAGATTACATGATAACATGTGCAAAAAGCATGTTTACTTGTCGAATTATCGTGATGACATGCTCATAATACCTTAACAATTTAACATGTGTTTTGCACAAATCATCACGATTATTTGACAAATTAACATGTTGTCTGCACAAGTCATCATGATAATTTGACAAGTTAACATGGCATTTGCACAAGTCATCATCATACATTGACAAGTTAGAATGGAGTTGGCACAAGTCATCACGATACCTTGACAAGTTAACATGTCGCTTTCACAAGTCACCATGATACTTGGACAAGTTAGCATGTTGTGTGCACATGTTATCACGATGATTTGACAAGTTATCATACTGTTTGCACATGTCATCATGAAATTTTTACAAGTTAGCATGGCATTTGCACAAGTTATCATAATACTTTGACAAGTTAACAGTACGTTTTGACATGTCAGAATGATACAAGATAACATGTCATTTGCACAAGTCATCACTATTCTATTCTTTGACAAGTTCACATGTTGTCTTCACAAGTCATCATGGTAATTTGACATGTTTTTATGCTGTTTGCACAAGTCATCACGATACTTTGACAAGTTAGAATGTCGTTTGCACATGTCATCATAATAATTTGACAAGTTAACATGCTGTTTGTACAAGTCAGCATGTTCCTTTGACCAGACATGATGTAAAGTGCACATGTTAACATGATCAAACGACAAAATAATATCATCGTTTCACAAGATAACAAAAACATTATTACATAAGACAGTCACGGCGTTCCATATCTTTTAAACTGCTTAATATGCTTATGTTTTCTTCTTTTCGTAACGTTAATTCATACTGACCGCAGAGCCGCACAATATGGGCGCGAATATCTGCGCCATGTCAGTCTCATTCTGCAGCTGTCATTCAACAGTCACTCTTTTAAACAACACGGTCATTTATAACGCTACATCTAGTTTTTCACGACAAGTCACCCTTTCATTATAGCTAGGTTGGTACATGATGTTGAATTGACTTTGACATGCAATGTGCTTCTACTGCAACAAACAAGCCTCGGAAAAGATACTGTTAAGTTCTTTCTTATTAAGTCTCTAGTGTCTTTTAATTCATAACATAAAGGCTATTCGATTACAAAAAAACGCAAACTTTAAAATACAATGATATTAAAGCCATTGTTAATTACTGAGCGACCGATTTCGATTACAAAAAAAATGGTCAACTTTGACCTAAACTGATAGTTAAAGTTACAAATGTATTTTGATTTACTGAGTGACCGAGCTATGCTTGAAATTGAACGCCTAATTCAGACTAAGTCCTTGTAGATGCACGTGAAATATGATAATTTTCGTACCACAAGATGAAAATAGATCTTGTATTTACAGAAAAATCTAGATTTTTTTGTTATAAACATTTTTTTGAAATTGCAATTTGAAATAAAAATGTTTATTGGCTATATTCAAACGAAAGATATCCAGCAAGACACTAATGAAAATATAGAAAAATATTTTCATTGCAATGAAAAATGTCGGCCAAACATTCACACATCATCGTATGAAATGAGGGCATTATTACTTCTGTTATACATGTTGCAACCATGCCTTATGCTCTGACTACATAACTTTATGACAGACTTTTCCAGATTTTAGTGGTTCCATATGCATTTTTTTTTCTTTTTCGTAGTGTCGATGCAAGTGCAACATAAATGTAACACATGTTATTATTAACTTTTTAAACAAGGGGTTGCTTGTATATCTATTTAGCTATTCAATTAAGGTTTTTGTCATAGGAGATTAACATCTTTGCTAGCAAAAAGATACAATTAAATTAGCGTGAACGAGTTATGTCACCAAAAACAATTGTGTTTTACAAGTGAAAACTTTACATAAACGTCTCACAAAGATGACATTTAAACAAACCTAGACTAGCTGACTTTAGTTACTTTGCCTAAAATAGATGATTGTTTTAACGAACAGATAAAAATTGCTGGGTCTCTCTCTCTCTTTCTCTTTTAATAACTGTTAGCTGGAAGAGATAATTAAAATGTTGATTATACACATCGGATGTTTCGAATGAATTATTTAATACCAATTTGTTTTCCACAACCACCACCTACCAACTCATCCGACCGACATAGTTTCCCTGTTATAGAATTTAAGTATCTTATTAAAGCATAAGCATTAAAATGTAGGTCGTTAGCAGATTCAAAAGCAGTTATTGACTGCTACTTTATCACCCCCAAAATCTTTACATTTAATTGATGTAATTGCACCCAAAAGAATATTCTTCATTTATGTCATCAAACGCATAACCCGTAACGTCGTTTTTCAATCGGATTTAGTTTCGTATGGAGACAGTCAATGAATGGTTGACATTGAACGTTTGCATCTGAAATACCGAAACTTAAAATTTTACTATCTGCGGATTCATATGGAAATTTACTAAAGTAAAAACGGTTAACCAGCGTCTTGTTGCATCTATTGTGCAGAAACATTGTCAAAATAACATAAGAAATATCTAACGATAAATTTGTGATAAAATTCATTTTAATAATAAGAAAATAAGGTTTGTGCTCAAATTCAAAATGAGATTTGATGAAATAACATCTTTACTTGGGCAGTTTGGAAAATATCAGAAAATTTTATATCTTCTGGTTAGTATAAATGGAATATACACAGGAATGCAGATGTTGTCGTCAGTGTTCACCTTAGCCATTCCAGATCATAGGTATAATTTTTTCATCAATAAGTAATAGAAAAATTTTGTATTGACATGTAAGATGATCTTGTTTACTAAATAAAAAATCAAGTTTACCTCATTTTAAACAGTGCATAATAGTAAAAGCATTGTACATGTGTATATACAGACGTGGGTTATTTACTGTTTGAACCAATGAAAATGTATTTTGTTATTATTTTGATGGTAAATACTTTACAATAATTTGTATATGGTATAACTTGTACATAATGACGGATTGATTGTTGCAAATTTTCCAATATACAATAACAAATGTGTGTCAACAGTTTTAAGTACAATTTAAAAATGTATGATCATTTGTAAAATAAATAAATAATGCGTTCTCTTTTAGACATTGACTGTGTAATATGATATATTTATACATCTTAACATTTTATTTTCGCTTAATTAAACATTGTTCAGACTTTTAAAATGAGAAGACATTGAAACTGAGTGTTATTAAAAAAATTGTAAATTAATTGCAAAATGAATCTCTATTCTTTGAAATTTTCTCTAAATGTGATGATGCATGATTTTGTTAAAATTGACAAAAAATGGACAAGCCCATTCAATATATTTAGCGTACCGAATAAGGGTTAATACGAGTAAAATAGATAATAAATATAGAATCTATTTAGAACAAAATTATTACCCGCGCAGTAATGTTTAAGCTCCAACGCATTAAGAAGTACGTACATTAAAATGAGCCGCGTCACGACAAAACCAACATGGGTTTGCGACCGGCATGGATCCAGACCAGCCTGCGCATCCGCGCAGTCTGATCAGGATCCATGCTGTTCGCTTTCAGTTTCTCCACTTGTAATAGAGTTGATAAGCGAACAGCATGGATCCTGATCAGACTGCGAGGATGCGCAGGCTGGTCTGGATCCATGCTGGCCGCAAACCCATTATGTTGGTTTTGTCGCGGCTCATTTGTACTTCACGGTAGTTTACGCTATACGATTGAAAAAACGAGGTCACAAAGGTCATAAAGCTATAGTTGGGTTGCTCGATACAAATCACACTAAAATTACTTAAAGTGAAAAAATGATGTTGATAGTGTCTGGTATACATGGATGAAGTACAATTAAATATTTTGTTAGGGAAAGGTCTGTTCTCTTTTCTTACACAATTCATATGAGATACACATGTAGCAAAACCTCTCTAGATATGATATAGAAAACATCATATTTATTGATATCCGTCTTCCACTGTTTTAAATGACTTATGTGGAAATGTTGGCAACTACTGTTGGAAATATTTAGTATTGAACAAAAGTACCGGAACATTGGTTAGATTTTTGGTTATTTCTGTTGACCTTGGGCGCTAAAGTTTACTAAAACTTGCAAACACAACAACAGAAGAAAATAAACAAAAACATGAAGCCATATATGATCTGTATAAAGTTTTGATTTCTCATTATGCCATACAAATATCATTATATTCACTTTTCAAGGTATCTTTTAACTTTAACTTTTTATACATGTATTTTCAAGCCGTCTGCATTCAATCTCGCATGTTATTGACCGTAACCCCCATTTAATGCTTCTTTTTTAACATCCCGCCAGTATCTCAGTATAAATTAATTCAACTTAAATTAACGCTGTTCTGATACTATTATTACAGACAAAAGTTGAAACTTTAACCGACGTTTGACAGTCAAAATGTTTTAAGAACATTATCGAAGTTATCACGCGGTGTGTAGCCTATACAAATGCATTTTAGGGCTTATAATGCACAGTTGATTTGCGCGCCCCCTGCTGATGTATTTCTATCATTATTTTGCAGACATCCTGCACAGCGTATTTAATAAGAAGTTACCCGACCACAAAACTTTTGAAGCAACTCTCTGCATGATTAATGATTAGATTTTCAGCTATAAAGATTTGTTTAGTAAAATGTAAAATGTCTCATAAAACACCAATCTTCAATGACACATTTGTACATTATATATCTTAACGTTCTATTTATCATATCCAAAACTTTAATTAAAATGAGAAAAGAATAAAAAAATGGAAAATATTTTCTTTGATTTTAATAATTTCAAACGCAAATATATCTAGAAATATGTCTGAACGACTAGGTCGACAGTCGATACATAGAAAGGCAAGTGATAATGCAACAATATAATATAAATATCATATTCGACTGACGGTGATAGAACATCAGTAATGTAAGTGAGTCGAAGTGACATTACGGAGTGTTACCCTCTGACGTCACATAAGCCTATCTAGTTAATAAATCACATAAGATAGAAAAGTACCGATTGCAAATACGCAAATTTGACACGATATTTGAAAATGAAGTGACATTATGATAATGTAACGATGTCATATTGCATTGTCCAGTATTTTAAGCACTAAAAATAACGTCACTTCTTGTTGCCAATGTTATCATTTCTCTTTTGCTAGTACCTTTATGGTCTTACCATGTAGTGATGTATCGCCATCGGTATCAACAGAAGTTTTGAGATTGCAAGGACTGATAATGGCATTGTAAAATGGCATTGCAATCGGAACATCTTCGGCTGTTATTCATAATAACAAAGACTGACGGAAATGGCCCAAAAGTTGGGATTGATGGCATTAAGTCATCACGATAATTCGTGATAATTATACTCCACAAGAACTCCACATTAACATTTACATCATCTCATATTAGTATTTGAATTTCAGGTGTGATCTCCAGTCGATCGATAATGACACGTACAAAGTTCAAGGTCACTGGCACGAGATTCTTATCAACCAGTCAATTCCATTGGTCAAGGGTGATGATGACGTATATGCGTACGATGACTGTGAAATGTTTGCGACCAATCAAAACACTACTTACAACAGTTTAAACGTTCCTGTAAATACAAGCAAGCAAGACTGCGACAAATGGGTGTATGACAAGTCAACTTTTGAAAGTACTTTTATTACAAAGGTACAACATTTCCATCGTTTGAAAGCTATATCTAATGAATTTTTAAAAAAAAAAACACACCAAAAATTGTAAAATTATGTTGTTTCCTTTATCTTATGGTTGATTCTTAAAAGAGTTGTAACATAGAATGTTTCTGTTAGATATTGTGAGAATTAAGACATATTAAGAGAATAAGATGTTCGGAACAAACTATTATGCTGGTGGTTTAAGTACGATTTTTACCGTTTTAAGCGTGTACCATTCGTGCTAAAGGAAATTTATACAAACATATTTCTTTCATACAGGCCTTTTTTGTAAGCTGTATGCAACGAAGATATAGCTTTATACACTTTAAAGAATCTAGAGTAAAGATTTTTCCATACCGACACAAATATGATAGAACTTTTCTGAGTATATAGTATTGCAAGAACTCTAAATTAATATATTCATTTACTAAAATATTCTCTAAATAAGTAGAGAATGAAAATATTTTATCAAAATTGTTAAATATGACAGAATCACTGTTTGTTCATTTTCAGGCAAATCTTATATGCGGCCAGGAGATTGCCCGTGCAAATGCCAATATGATTTTAATGGGAGGTGTTTTAATTGGTGCAATAGCTATGGGCATCTTTTCAGATGTGTAAGTACAGCATACGAAACTTTCTTCACACATTTCGATCATTGACCAAAAAAAACTTGTTTTTATAATATCTCTTAATTGCAAGTGAGGACATCGACCAGTATTTGAACATAACTTTAATTTTCCTTTGTTTGCTTTGTAAACATAAAATGATAAGTATGTAAATAGTTTTGTTGAAGGAAAGTTTGGAATATAAGAATGAAACGTTTTAAAGCTTAACCGATGTGGAAAGAATGGACTACTTTGCAATGTTTGTTACCACTGTAAAACATAAAATGTCGGTATCCTCTAGTACAAAGTTCACATTATATTTGCCAAAGGGTTTGCATACCAACTGATGCATTAAACTTTTAATTCCGTACATTAATACAAATTAATCCAAATATTGACTAAGAAAATGTTTTGTGAAAATATTAGATATAACGTTTGGTCATTTAACTGTTTGAGACAAAGGGCATGTCTTTCAAAACGAAGCGCCTGAGATTTGATATAATTAGTTTGACCGCGCCTTCCTAAGAAAAAATTTTCACGAAAAATATATGGTTTACAGACATCTAGCTTATAAACATTCGCATTTAATTAAGATAATCAAATAAGTAATCAAATAAATGTGTTATTTCTATGCATCGGCCAGATTTCTAGATTTATTGTATTTGAATTTTTATATCACTCAAAAGACTAAGTCCGTTCCACTGCGGGTAATTTACTACCCACAAGAAGGCAATTATGTAACGTGCCTCTGATGTAACACATCTGGATCACAAGAATTACGCCTTATGTTCAAAAGGCAAACAAAAATATCAAGTTCAACAGATTCAGATTGTGATTTGGTTTCCATTACTCTATTATATATGATAACATCAATCAGAACACTAAGGTACATATTGAAAATGTTAAATACAGCTATTTTTGTTTCAAAGGCAAATTTTAATCTTTAACGTGTTGAATTTCTTTAGTAACTTTGTCAAGCTTCTATATTTGGAACTGCCTATTATCAATTAATTGAAAATTTAAAGTCGGTCAGCCAATAGCATCGAGTTTTGTCAGAAGTCACGGCGTATGTTAGTCTGGTTCCCTGCCGGATACGTAGTGTAAGGGGACGGAATTCCAGACTAGGTGCATGCTGACTTGTCTCAGTACTGGTCCTTTTCTGTTCAAGCACGGTTAATATTATGAACATACAAAAATGATTTGAACGTATTAATGTATCTTAGCATCAGCATGGTCAGTCCTAAAAGAAGCGATTGTATAAAAGAGAAGTTTTAGAGGCGATTTTGACGAAATATTAATTAGTTAGCGCATATATTTATTATATTGCAGATGTAAACATGAGGCATTGTTAGCGAATATTCTAAAATGTAGGTCTAGACGAAATAAGGGATTGTTAGCGAATATTAAAATATGTAGGTCTAGACGAAATAAGGCATTGTTAGCGAATATTCTATAATGTAGGTCTAGACGAAATAAGGCATTGTTAGCGAATATTCTAAAATGTAGGTCTAGACGTAATAAGGCATTGATAGTGTATATTCGATAATGTAGGTCAAAACGAAATTAGGCATTGTTAGTGTATATTCTATAGTGTAGGTCTAGACGATTTAATGCATTGTTTGCGAATATTCTAAAATGTAGGTGTAGACGAAATAAGGCATTGTAAGTGAATATTCTATAATGTAGGTCTAGACGAAATAAGGCATTGTTAGTGTATATTCTATAATGTAGGTCAAGACGAAATAAGGCATTGTTAGTGTATATTCTGTAGTGTAGGTCTAGACGAGTTAAGGCATTGTTTGCGAATATTCTAAAATGTAAGTCTAGACCGAATAAGGCATTGTTAGCGAATATTCTAATTAATGTAGGTGTAGACGAAATAAGTGATTGTACAACGTAAGTTTAAGTGAATATTCCATAATAGAGGTCTTGACGAAATAAGGCATTGTTAGTGTATATTCTATAATGTAGGTCTAGACGAAATAAGGCATTATTCATAAATATTCTATATATTGTAGGTCTAGACGAAATAAGGCATTGTTAGTGTATATTCTATATTGCAAATGTAGACAAAATAAGGCATTGTTGGTGCCTAGTTTATATATTACAAATCAATTTTTAATACACAAAAGGCATTGTTAGCGCATATTTTGTATTACAAATTAAGACACAAAAAGGCAACGTGAGTTCACTTTTTGTATTACAGATTTAGACAAAATAAGGCATTGTTAGTGCATATTTTTGTTATAGATTTGTTTAGACGAAATAATGTATTGTTAGCGCATGTTTTGTTTTAGAAATTAAAACACAAAAAGGGATTGTCAGTGGAAATATTGTATTACGAGGCATTGTAAGTGTATATTTTGTATTACAGATTTTTCAGAAGAAATAAGGTATTTTCAGTGTATATTTTATATTGCAGGTTTGGACGAAAAAAGGCATTGATAGTATCTGTGTTTCTTCACGTAGGTGGCGCATTCGGTTCAGCATTTGCTCCTAACTACGCATTGTTTGTGACCTTTCGGTTCATTGTTGGCTTTTCTAATATGGGCATGTTTATGTCAGCGTTTGTCATAGGTTCGTTAATAGCGTGTATTTTCTTGTTTTAACTGAATATTGAATATATCGCACTGACAAGTGGGATTTCTTTCAAGAGCAGGACATTTACTCAAAACGAACGCATGTTCTTTATATCTAAGATTTTTGCAAACAAATGACACAAAATATAAATATTGCGTCAGACCGACTTCTATAAATTCATTAACAAATTCTCTTTAAACAATATGCGATGTTTACCCTAAGCCTGCTGAATTTGTATAATTGGTTTGCCATGGTTTAATTTTGAATAATTCTTTTGGAATTTTAAGGCATTTCAACCGCTAAATATAAAAGAGCTACTTACAGTACGAGTATACTCGTAGAATGCGGTCAGACTGCTCGGATGGCCTGGCTGTATACTGGTAACAAAGACTAACCACTTTCGGTTGCAGCAGGTCTCGGACCTGCAATTGTCAACCGTGAGTAGGTTAAGGGTTAATCAAATCTAAGCAAAACTTAAATTTTGGGTCATATTTTATGTTTTAGGGATGGAGCTAGTAGGTCCGTCTTATCGGGTGGCAGCGGGGATCATCATCGAATTTTTCTGGTGTATTGGGTTGTTTCTTCTGTGTTTTATCGCCTATTTTGTACGGACTTGGAATATGTTACAACTTGCGTTAGCAATTCCTACATTCCTGCTCTTTGCATATTTTTGGTAAGACCTTTAAATAAAAGTTATAAAGCAGTTCTCAAAATTGAATTCTAGATTATTAATTCAAAACTAAAACATTTAAGGCCATGAAAAAACTAATCATAAAACAACCTATGATGTACTATTCTTTGAATATATATTTTCTAAAAATCCACCGACCATGTAGCTTTATGAATACACATATTTGTAGTTACGCCGCTCCTTCCTTTTTGTTATTAGGATCAAAGTATCTTTATATTTGAACTTAACCATTTAAAATGCAATAGTTCCAAGTAAAGTTGATCTGATAGAAAGGAGTTTTCTAAGTTTGAATTCATATGAGTCGAAACATCATTTTGTGACTGAAGTACCATTTAATTAATACTTGAATGAAAAAATGCATAACGAAGCGTTACTTGCAAAATATGACCTACTATAATTTTGTAAAAAAATACACTAAATGGTATAGTATTATATTATCTTTATCTAACCTGATGTTGAACACAGTACTACTTATAAAATATGATTATTTTTCATTGCTGTATTGTAGGATAATTCCCGAGTCCCCACGTTGGCTAATATCAAAAGGCCGTTACGAAGAGGCGAACAAAATAATTCAAAAGTGTGCCAAAGTGAACGGTGTGACAATACCAGAAAATGTCGTCGGCAAAGACTCAGATGACAACGGCGAGAAACAAAGTGTACTGAAAATGTTGACAGTACCAAAGCTACTGATCAGAACCCTCATAATATATTTTAATTGGTAAGTTTTTATGTATCATAATCAAAATATGTCTATACATCTGCCGATTTGCCTGATGATTTTTAGGAGGGAACTTTGTAACAGCTACGGCGAAATATAAAAGATACGAAAACTCATCCATTTCACGAATATAAAATCACCTCTTTTTACGATTGCAATCTCTTACATATATTTGTTAAAAGGATATGTGAGCCGGATATTGTCACACCGCCAATAGAGTAGTTATTAATTTTTCGTCTGATAAAACTGCATTTTGTCATTTATTTGCACTTCCGCGAACACTAATTAAAATCAGCTTCTAAATAACCTATGCTTAGGGTCTGACGATCAGCAATAGGTTGCCACCTTGAACAGCCAATCACCGACGAGCTTTCATAATTTTGAGGCGATGCAGTTTCTATTTTTAACCGCTGGAAAATCAATATTGTGAAGGTAATTAACAGACATGGCGTTGTGCATATAACCGGCTAGTCCTATAAATATGACGTCGCTTTGAGATATTTTTGCTTCTGGGCAAAGCAACGTCATATCGAAATCACAGACACTTGGGGTTAGGAGCTCAAAACGCCTTTAAAATCCAAATAAAATGCATATTTGTCAATCCCAGCACATGTACTGATCATATATATCAAAAAAACTTAATATAAGCCGTTTTGAAAAAATTTCATATTTCAACATCTATAATAATACACAAGATAAAAATGTTCGCCGGAAAAAATCCGCACCCCTACCGTCATAATCACCATGTATTTTATTCCATTTCCAATATTTTCACATAATCCTTTGGTCCATCGACACAGAAGATAGAATTCTTCACGATGATGGTCAATTTTTAACTTCAACGGTAATATAAACAACGCAACAGCCGAAATAAACATCAAGATTATCGCCGTTTTCCTTCATTGACAAAGTCTTTCGATAAATTCAATGGACCAGTCGGCTATGAACGAAGCTATCCGATTATGTGGCCCCAGCTTTGCCGTGTGCAAAATGCGCAGCGCTTTTAAGTTTGGGAACCACATAATCGGATGGCTTCGGTCATAGCCGACTGGCACGTTTGAATTTATCGAAAGACTTTGTCAATGAAGGAAAGCGGCGATAATCTTGATGTTTATTTCGGCTGTTGCGTTGTTTATATTACCGTTGAAGTTAAAAATTGACCATCATCGTGAAGAATTATATCTTCTGTGTCGATGGACCAAAGGATTATGTGAAAATATTGGAAATGGAATAAAATACATGGTGATTATGACGGTAGGGGTGCGGATTTTTTCCGGCGAACATTTTTATCTTGTGTATTTAATATTATAGATGTTGAAATATGAATTTTTTTTCAAAACGGCTTATATTAAGTTTTTTTGATATATATGATCAGTACATGTGCTGGGATTGACAAATATGCATTTTATTTGGATTTTAAAGGCGTTTTGAGCTCCAAACCCCAAGTGTCTGTGATCGAAATTGCTCAAAAACCCATAGCATGTTCCGCCATAAAATCGGGCGGAACGAAAAACAATGAAGACAGCGTGTATTTACATAATTTTTGACCTATTTATGAACAAAACTAAAAATAAATACCTTTTGTCAAAATAATTAAACTGTCACATCCGAAAAATTATGATTAAATCCTGTCATGTATTTCAATTCCTTTTACAGCCGATAAACAAATGGCGGCCGTAAAGTGTGCGAAATCTGATTGGCTAATTCAAATGCAAGCGTTTAACTGAGTTAGAACAATCTAACGAAATATTTTTTTAACGAAATAATTGCCCATGCACCGTCAGTGTGTTCGAATATATTTTTCCGTTCAAAAATTTGGAATCAATCTGTAAAGCACCTTGCTTAACCAGTATGGCTGATAGACAAAAATAGATTGATGTTTATATTTTATTTTAAATTGATAAGTACATCGTTTGAAAGTTTTTGTGTATGATTGAGCATGAAATTAAAAGAAAATATGATAAGCTTTTGAATAAAACTTGAAAGGCAAGACAATAGACATTTTTTGAATTTTTTATGATGCTATGCGTTTTTGAGCAATAACTATTAGACGTCAGGCTTGACCGACAAAACTATAGCAAGCCTGTAACGTCTAATATATTGGACTAATAACCGGCAGGTAAACTGGCAAAACAGTCTTGACAATTAAAATTGAATCTATCATTTCCAGTTAATTTGTTTCACAGAAACATTGTCTTTTCTAACAAAAATCAAAATTTGTAATTTGTTTTCCTTCCACGAATGTACAGATCAAATTGTGAACTGTACAATATTTTTTATGTTTTTCTTTATTTATTCTTATATTTTGGTGAAAGTTAACTATTAAGTACAACGAGTATGTTGTATTTTTATTTCAACTTAACGTGCTACATTAGTTCAAATAAGTCGACCTATACATCAAAACACTCGTTGTCAATCATCAAATAAAATCAATTCATCCAAGGTAGATTTTAAGATTATATAGATATAGTGGGCGTCCGCTACAGATGTATTATATTCGGTGAAAGTTTTCAGTATGTTAATTTTAAATTAGCATTTTAATGTATTTTATATTACTGCCTGAATCATATCGCTAACATAATGATATGTTGAGTAAATATTTTGTCTAAATCTGAACAACGTTGGGGATTTATAAGCGGCAAATGTCGACCACCTTATGCATAAATTAATATAAAGAATAAATTACTTGTTATAAAACAATATTAAAAAGCTTTCTCCTGCTTGATAATGCAACAAAAAAAAAAATAACACCTCTATATTGTTCTACATTCGAATTGATTAGATTAAATTATATTTGTCCAATTATAAAGTAAAATTAATTAATTATTCAATCAATTTTTAATTAGTCGATCACATGAATATGTCTGTCAAAACAATCAATCGATCAATCAATCGGTAAAAGCATGAATGAATGAATGAATGAATGAATAAACGAATGAATGAATGAATGAATGAATGAATGAATGAATGAATAAATAAATGAATGAATGAATTAATGAGTACGTCAGCCGGTCCGTCGGTTGATCAGTCAAATTTAACACACGTCTTTGACTGTTTTGCCAGTTTACCTGCCGGTTATTAGTCCAATATATTAGACGTAACAGGCTTGTTATAGTTTTTGTCGGTCAAGCCTGACGTCTAATAGTTATTGCTCAAAAACGCATAGCATCATAAAAATGATCAGTTATTATACATGTATATGTACTTACACTGTCAATCAGATATATAAAAGCAGCGTGCTTCCAGGTTCATGCCAATTTTTATTAAATATTTGAAAAAGTATTTAAAAGTAAAGAAGTGAACAAAGGAAGTAACTTACACATTGTAAACGGCACGTACAATCCGCGTAAATCACCAAAAAGATGTCAAAATATGCAAAAATCGCCACACAATAGAAATATGACGATAAATACCGAAAAATAAATAATTAGTTGCACATAACATGTAAATTATTACTTGAAACTTGAATCTTTTTACTTCTTTTAACATTATTTTTCTCAAGTTCGATTTTATTAAAATAGTTTGATTCTAAAAAATGCCTCTAGCATGCAGCTTTAAGATTAAACAGTCTTCGGCGTTTTTCTAAGTGAGGGGTTACAAATACACAACTATTTTAAATGAAAACTACAGTTTTCATCACAAATGATCATATTTCTATTTTTAAAACAGGTGTGTAGTCAGTATGGTATATTATGGATTGGGTTTGAACGTTGGGAATTTAAATGGAGACATTTACGTAAACTTTGCCATAAACAGCAGTATGGAATTAGGTGCCTACTTACTTTGTCTACTTACGCTCAACAAAGTAGGCCGTAAAGTTCTTCACGCGGGAACAATGATTCTTGGCGGCGTTGCTTGTCTGTGCACTATCTTTACTGTGCTTTATGCTGATGAATGTGAGTATTTGGTTTTTATATGTACAACGTTTTCCTCCGACTGACCAACATTCTGCAATTTATAAAACTTACTATCTTTTGTCGATCAACGGCTTGGCCGCAACATGATTGGGGTCCAAGTGTCAGCAACACGCTGTTGTTCATTTAAAACTGAAGACAGACTGATATCCCAGTTTTTCATATTTTTGGCCGGATTATTGTCGAGGTAAATAGGGCACCGAACTATAGATGTCGGATCATCACCTTTTTAATAATTCTGTTTTGTTGTGCCCCCACTTTAGTGGCGGGCATTTAGATTTACCCTTGTCCGTCCGTCCGTCTGTCCGTCCGTCCATCTGTCCGTCCATCCTTCCGTCCGTCCGTTCTCTTTTGTGTCGCACGTAATTCAAAAAGTATTTGACCTAGAGTCATGAAACTTTACAGGAATGTTGATCAGCATGTGTAGTTGTGCACCTGGGTATTTTCGTCTGGATATTTTTAGTATTTTTAGAGTTATTGCCCTTGACTTAGTAAAATTTTGCAATTTTCAACTTGTGTCGCATGTAACTCAAAAAGTATTTGACCTAGAGTCATGAAACTTTACAGGAATGTTGATCAGCATGTGTAATTGTGCACCTGGATATTTTTGTCTGTATATTGTTAGTATTTTTAGAGTTATTGCCCTTGACTTAGTAAAATTTTTGCAATTTTAAACTTGTGTTGCATGTAACTCAAAAAGTATTTGACCTAGAGTCATTAAACTTTATATAAATGTTGATCAGCATGTGTAGTTGTGCACCTGGGTATTTTCGTCTGGATATTTTAAGTATTTTTAGAGTTATTGCCCTTGACTTAGTAAAATTTTGCAATTTTCAACTTGTGTCGTATGAAACTCAAAAAGTATTTGACATAGAGTCATGAAACTTTACAGGAATATTGATCAGCATGTGTAGTTGTGCACCTGGGTATTTTCGTCTGGATTTATATAGTATTTTTAGAGTTATTGCCCTTGACTTGTGTCAACTTGTGTCGCATGTAACTCAAAAAGGATTTGAAATAGAGCCATTAAACCTTACGGGAAGGTTGCTCAGCATATTTTGTTTTGCACCTGGTGTTTTGCTTGTGGATTTATCAGTATTTATAGAGTTATTTCCCTTGACTTAGTAAAAACCGTTTCATTATGTTGTTATTTGTTCCTTGAGTGCTTGAGTTAGAATCAACCAACTTTACAGGAATAATGATCAACATCACTAAATTACAGGAATAATGATTCACATCACTGTGAAGCTATGAACCTGGGACTTTGCATGTGGATTTTTTCAGTTTTGTTAGAGTTATTACTCTTGACTAACAGTAGTATAAATTTGCAATTTTCAACTTGTTTATGCAAAGCTCAAAAAGTATTTCACTTGTAGGCCTAAAAGTTTACAAGAATGTTGGTCAGCATGTGTAGTTATGCACCTTGGGGTTTGCTTGTGGATTTATTCAGTATTTGTAAAGTTCTTGCCCTTTACTTAGTAAAAGATTTTTAGTTTTCAAAAATAATTGACATAAGATTGACAGAACAGTGGCGCGGTGGGGGCACCCGTGTCCTATGGACACATTTCTAGTTTATGTGGTGTTGTTCTTGTTCTTGTTGTTAACTGCATGCTTATCCTTTGTTGAGGCGACAAAGAATGTCTACGCAAGGACTTGTCTGTTAAAAAGTAAAAAAACGTGAAATCTATTATTCAAACATCAAAAGAATTTGAGAGGCAATGATTCATACGGAAATCAGCTGTAGTATTTTGAAGTTGTGCTTGATTGAAAAGAATACCGCTTTTGGCATATTCGCTGAAAACTTAGTCAAGTTTTTGAAAATTATAGAAGTAAATAAAGAGATGCACAAGTATAATAACTAAAGTCTTGGAAATATATTTTTATCTTCAGCTTTATACTGGGTTACTGTGGTCTTATCAAATGTTGGAAAGTTTGGCGTGTCTGCTGCATTTGCTGTCATTTACGTATGGTCAGCAGAGCTATTCCCTACAAATATTCGAAACTCTGGCATGGGTTCCAGCTCAATGTTTGCTAGGGTTGGCAGCATGGTGTCTCCGTATATCGCTGACTTGGTAAGTTAACCCCTAATTTGATACTGAATTTGTGTAATGGATTAACCCTGCTTTGAATTTAGAACATTCCATTCAACGTTCAAGGGATTTCAATGTAAAATTACAAAGAAAGAGCTGGCAACAGTATATAGTCTGGTCGAATTGTACCAGTGTGCAGGCTGACTTTGCTCTATACTATATACAAAAGCTAATTACTGTTTCGATTGTTAGTTTTGTAGGAATAAGGCAACAAAGTGATGATGGCCTTTATTGACAGAGGCCTTCTTACGTGCTTAATTCATTATAGTTTTCAGTTAAATTGTTTCCGATATTTCTCTGCATGCATACTATGCATACAGTTATCACAAAAACTAACATTGCAACCGTACGCGTAATGTTAACTTTGCAGTCCTACGTAAAATGTTATAATATTCTTTCTGAGACTTTAAGACTAATCACTTGCATTTAAGTTATGATCATATTTTAAAAATTTGGTTTGCTTTTGAACCAATGTAGTATAATAACACTCCTGTTCGTCAAAATCAGTTACAGTGAAATTTCATGAATAACAAACAACCATCATGAATTATAGTAATGTCATGTCATTTATGAGATGAGAGTTACTTTGTTATAAATTTAGCTATATCTTATAGCGAGTCCCCTTGTCATCAACACTGAATGAGGTAAATATATTTTATTATCTTAATTTTACAGGGCACTTTCGTTGAAGGTTCTTTCGGCAAAGCATTGCCGTTGATAGTGTTTGGAGGTCTGTCAGTCCTAGCTGGCTTATTGTCATTATTCCTTCCAGAGACTAGTGGCAGAATTCTACCTGAAAACATTGAAGATGCTGTCAACTTTGGAAAGTTCGTTTAACTTTTTTTCCTAACCTAAAAAAGTTTTTAAGTAATGAGCGTTTTTTCCCACGCGCTCGATAGACAAGATTAAGCCATCCGTTTACGGACTATCTTCACTTAATAGGCAGCTTATTTGTATACATGGAGTAACACAGGGGTTTTCCTGAATTGTTCAATTTTTTTTAAATCTAAATACTGTAAGTGTTGCTATAAGCTCTTGGGATCAAAGTTTTTTGAGAATGTACCTTTTTAAGAATTTATATTTTTCCCTGTATAAAAATAGTTGTTCGCTAGAATTGTAACTTTCTGTCATGTAAAGTGGAATAGATAATAGCTATGTCATACCTGCAAGGCATTACTACGTCATTACTCACTAGACTAATATTTTCCCCGTAATATATGCGTATTCATCGTTTATCAATTTATTTCAGAGAAGATTCGGGAAAGAAAAACCCATCAAGTAAGAAGTACTACATGAATGAAGCGTACAACACAAGTATGGATATACCACCCCCTGGAGAATTCAAAACCATTAATTAAATTAACATCAAAGAGAGTTTTTATGTATGTAGCGTAGTTTTTGTATTCACAAGGCATTCGTTATTACAGTTTTACCGAAACTCAGAATTCGTTCGTCAAGAAATTTACGAACTGACAGCATTCACTTCCGGTTACACCGCAATGCAAAGTAGTTCTTTCGAACTATTTACAAAGGTTGTACATTGAAATAGAAGTTAGATGTAAAATCAACTGAGTTAACTATAATGGTGATATCACAAACATGTACGCAGGAACAAACACAAATTACACCAAGTTTTGTTTTAACATTATCAAAAAAACAACAACAACAAAAAAACAACAACAAACAAATTAATACACCACAAATGGATTAACAGAAATATGATAGAGTTGTCGATTTATCTGCAACAAGCATTTGAATCAATGGTGAAGCAGTTTGTTTTAAAACTGAAATTAATTGTTTTTACACTTAGCAAATATTATCATGTCTGCACTGTAAACAATATTATGTCTACACTGTAAACAATATGTGACGATTTTTCTCTTTTGCCTAGATTCTTAAATGATATTTAGTGGTTTTATACCTAAATTGCCGATAAGATATGTTATCTTGTGTTTAAAAGTAGAGTTTGATCTTTTATAAAAAAAGTAAAAAATACATAAAAATTCATTGATTAGATTTAACATCTTATTCGTAGCAATTATTTAATATAACGGGCATATTTTTATTATTTCTAAGATATCAGAACAATTCGTCCTTAAAAAATATTCGAATTCAATGCCATTCGTACCAATATTCGACCCATTTTCAATATCTCTTGGATGCTTGATTTCTTTAACTTCAGTAAACGATCTTTAAATACAAGTTTGCTTCTTTAAAAAGAAGCAAACTTAGGGCTTTTGGTAGCTGATAAATATATCGAAATTATTTGGAGATATAAAAGGCACCATAGATTTTCCAAAACGGGCATAAAATATGTTAATCAAACAATTTTAAGTCCCAGATTTACATTAATAATGTATAAACATGTATCATTTGATTGGAATAAACAATATATACTGCTGCATGCCTCCAACCACAATATGGCAAGAAAATCAAACTTGAGAAAAAGTTGTGTCATTTTCGCCATTTGCGCCAAAAAATCTCCGTTGCGTATTTTAGTCATACCAGTTCTGCTCAAATATCGACAGACCGCTATATGTAGCAGCAAATTTTCGGTACATCGTTCACTCGGTCATATGATAGTGCTTCCTAATTTTCGGAACATGAAATAGTAAAACTCTATTCAGAAAACAAGTATCGATTTATTAAGTTTAAAGGATTACAATCAACTGGCAAAGTAGCAATAAGAAAAATTATATATATAACAGCTAGCCCTTGCACGTTACAAATATTATGTCTACACTGTAAACATGTTCATGTCTGCACTGTCAATATTTTCATGTCTACACTGTAAAAACAATAGTATGTATCATATGTCTCTACACTGTAAACTGTATCATGTCTACTCTGTAAATATTTTCATGTCTGCTCCTCAAATCACTAAAATACTAAAATTCCATTATGGTGCCCTCACACATAAACCACGACCTTACTGCGACCTGAAAACTAGTAAAATAGCATTTTTCTTTCGAAAATCGTTGGTTTTCTTTCAAATTTCTCTCGCAGACGGTCCGGGGCTCTGCAGTCTTGTGTTCAGTACGTTTTCTCTATGTCCTCAATACGACCCTTCTACGTCCATGGCGTTTCCACTGCGACTGTATTGCGTCCCCAAGGCGACCCCACGGCGATCATCGGCGACCCAGCTGCGACTGTGCTATGTTCTCTGCGTCCTTACGGCGACTCTACGACGACTATTGCGTTTGTCCGGCGACTGTCCTGCGACTGTACGACGACCCTACTACGTTCTTGCTACGTCTATAAAAACAATACTTTTTACCAGTAAATTTCATTCTGAGTCTGACCTTACGGCGTCCTTAGTACGAGTGTACTATGTCTATTGCGTTCTTATTGCGTCCTTACTACGATGCTGCTGCGACTATGGCGACTCCACTGCGATCCCACGGCGACCTAACCAGGACTCAGCAAGAACGCAGAGTTTCTGCGACTGTTTTGTGCATGTTCAAAATAGTCGCCGACGGTCTGCGACCTTGTGCGTCCTTGGGTTCCTCGCTACGACCTCGCTGCGCCCCTGCTGCGTCCATGGCGACTGTGCTGCGTTCTGGGTCGTAGCAAGGTCGCAGTAAGGACGCAGTAAGGTCGCGAGGTATGTGTGAGGGCAGTATTATATTAATTGCTATGGAGGACCGTCGCTTATGTAAGCTTAATAAATATAATTATAATGTAAATACCGGTATATAATTATAATAGTTTCTTTGTTATAGGGTAAATGTAGAGATCTACGTATGTAAAGTGGTTAATTATTATTGAACATATTATTGAAGAAACAAAAAAGAAATTATTTTGAAACCTAGAGAATGTGTTTTTGTTTTGTTTTGTTTGTTTTGTTTTTTTATGCCCCCGAAGGGTGGCATATTAAAATCGAACCGTCCGTCTGTCTATCTGTCAGTCCGTCAGTCTGTCAGTCCGTCCCGCTTTATACATATAGACAGTGGTGGTCGTGTCCGCTCTGAAACTTCAGTATGCATGAAAGATTTTTACTGTTTCTTTCATATAAAAATAACCATATAATTATGTATGGTGTTTCGCGAGCAAGATTTGGGTTCCTACTACTAAGGTCAAGGGGGTTCAGACTTTGTCACTTTTTATGTTATATAAATATAGAAGGTTGTGGTCGTGTCCGCTCTGAAACTTCAGTATGCCTGGAAGGATTGTAATTTTTCTTTCACATATGTAATAACCATAGATGTATGGTGTGTCGCGAACAAGACTCGGTTTCTACCACTAAGGTCAAGGTCACTGTGGAAGTTCAAACTTTGTCATTTTTTTATGTTATATAAATATAGATGTTGTTTGTCGTGTCTCTTCTGAAACTTCAGTAGGCATGAAAGGATTTTATTTTTTCTTTTACATATGAAATTACCATATGTTCGTGAAGTTAGCCAGACAGCCGGAGCAGCCGGAACAAAATTTTGTCTCGTCCGGCTGTTCCGGCTACTCCGGCTAGCCAGAATCCGGTTCCGGCTGAATAGGCTAGCCAGAGAATATACAGTAAAACCTGTGCAATAGACAATTGGTTAAGTTTTCAAATTACTTAATTATCACCTCGATCTCGGGCTATTCAGAATAACCAAAATGAAGGCTATTTAAGATGAAAAAGATGTATGAATATTTGTGTCGTGCAAAGTGTGACCGTGGGTCCGCTGGCAAAGGTGTGTCCATCGGGAATGCTGTAGCATTTTGCCGACGTGGAGCCGAAGATCGTGCTATAAATGGTCATTTCAACTCACATCTCGCCAATTACGGCTGCCTCTGTGAGGCTCAGCCTCAATTGCACAGAACCGCCATATGGTGGGATGGTTAGGGGTCTGACCGTGTGTTCGCTGGCATAGGTGTGTCCGCCGGGATTACTTTGGTATTTTGCCGACGTTGAGCCGAAAATCATACTATACATGGTCATTTCAACATATATCTGGCCATTTCTGGCTGACCCTGTGAGACCCAGCCTCGATTGCACAGAACCCCATATGGTGGGAAGGTTAAGGAGTTTAACCGTGTGTTCGCTGGCATAGGTGTGTCCGTTAGGAATACTTTAGTATTTTGCCGACGTTGAGCCATAAATCGTATTATAAATGGTCATATATTTGGATGGTTAGGGGGACCGTGTGTCTGCTGGTTTATTTGTGTCTGCCAGAAATACTCTGGTATTTTGCTTACGTTAAGCCAAATATCAAAATATAAATGATCATTTTAGCTCATATTTTGCCATTTCTTTGAATGTCTCCTGTGATACCCAGAACCAATTCAACAGAATTCCATATAGTGGGGTGGTTATGGGACTGAGCGTGTGTTTGCGGGTATAGGTGTGCCCGTCAGGAATACTCTGGGTTTTTTGCCGGCGTGGAGTCCAAAATCGTACAATACATGGTCATTTCAGCTCATATCTTGCCAATTTCGATTGACCCCTTTCTCTTGTGATCCCAAGGTTTTGTTAAACAGAATCCCATAAACTTATATTCTTAGGTACGAAAGACCAGTGGGGACTTTTCAACTACATGAATTCCCGATTATATCTTCGTGAATTCACGAATTCAACTTTGTGAGTTAACGTTTTCAACATACGGAAATCACGAAATCAGGGGGGGGGGGGGGGTGACATTCAACAGTCAGTATATGTTTAGGTAAAGTATATCAATGATAACGAGTCTTGCTGTAAGATGAAGTTACAAACTTTTAAAATGAAATCAAATACATGTACGATGTTATTCTATTTATTTTAAGCTGATCTTGTTAACCTTCCCTGTTAACCTTTTTTCCTTTAATAAATTGGTAATTTTCATTTTTTTAATATGATCAATAAAAATCATTACAGCCATATATTAAACGTGTACTTTGTTATTTGTGTAATTTTTCAATAACTATATTTTAATTGATATTTTATAAATTTATGTGGTTTGTCACAATTTCGTCGAAGTGAAGAGCACCATGAACAAACTAAAAAGGAAAAATCAAGAATACAAAATCGATTTTTCAGAATTAAGAAGAATTCAAACGATTTTATATAGAGGACAGAAAGGGGGTTGGGTGGAGATAAACTAAGGTTAAAACCCTTAATTAAGACAAACATCGTGACTGAAACAAAGTGGTCGTAATTCAGGGTTGGTCTCAATTGGATATTCTTATCATTGCTTAAATACTTTATGACCATGACTTTATAACCTACAAATACAATATTAATGTATGTTATAATATTTTATCTGATTAGAGCAAAACAAATTTCTGATGAAAAGCTAATACAGTAAAACCCTCAATTTAGACCACCAACGGGACTGGGCCAAAGTGATCTTAATTGCGGGGTGGTCTTAATTGAATATTCTAATCATTTTTTACACACTTTATGACAATGGTCTATTTTAGTCATTTTGTTTGAACAAACAATATGTATCTTAACTTGCAATTACAATATAAAAGTTAATGTCGTTAAGTTTATAATGTTACATCTACGGAAGCGTCCTGGTGCCAATTCATAATGTTCTATAAAAAAAATAAACTCCTACGTAGGAGATAAAAAAGCCTAACTAGGAGTTTGTAACTCCTACGTAGGACTTATAAACTCATACGTAGGTTTTTATAACTCCTTCGTAGGAGTTTATAAGTCCTACGTAGGACTTTATAACTCCTGAGTGGGAGATAAAATAGCCTAATTAGGAGTTTGTAACTCATACGTAGGACTTATAGGTTTTCTTAACTCCTACGTAGGAGTTTATGACTCCTA